TATCGGTGGTCGACGTTTGATGGCAAATTCGTGGTCACAGCTGTCGAGGATGGAACATTGCCGCCGCTTGAGGCCACCACCAGTCACTGATTTGTCATGCAGAATCGGTTGTATTAAAACTACTATTGCGATGCGTTTTCATTTAAACTGGGTTTTGAACATGCAACAATTAATTCCATAGATTTTTATACGAGTGGTTACATAGCATGTGTTTTTTCTTGTTCACAAAACGCACCAATTCTTCAATAGTTCTTAATAATGGTTCAATAAACAGAAGCTTGGACGATGAAAAATATTATTATTCAATATATGTACATGAAAATGTATATGTGAAAATTTTAATAAGTATATCTTTTTATTAATAATTATATTAATAATTATAAATATTTGCAAATAAATTCAATTAATTTATACATGATTTTTGTAATATTATTTTACTTACAAGAATAAACTGTTTTTATATAGCTCAAAATAACTAAATAATTAAATATTTAATTGTAATTTAGATATTTTAGATTATATTACAAATAATGAATTAATATTTTGATTTCTTAATTTTTATATAGCTTTAAGAATTTTTTTAACTTTATCTGTAACTGACATCAAAAGAAATTTTGCTAAATCAAAATTAATTAAAAATTATCTTAAATCTTCAGTGTTGTCGGAAAAAATAAGTAATCTTGCATTACTAGCTATAGATATTTACAAAAATTCACAAAAGATATTTACAAAAATTTAGATTTATTGAAAAAAAATTGAAAAATTTGCATAAAAAAACAAAAAAGATAAATTTGTACTTCAATAAAAATAAAATAAATTGATTTCAAATAAATTGGTACAATAATTGAATAATAATAGTTATTTTTTTTATATATTATGTATTTGTTTTTAAAAAAATATTTATTTTAATGATCTTTTATTTTATACAAAATAAAAATTAAAAAATATATATAAAAATAAATATTATATCAAATTCTTAATTAAGTAATATTACATTAAGAGCGGCGATATTATTTTTGCACCTGGATGACCAACAACTGTTCATCAGAACGTTTGATCCTCGCTTGGTCAGTCGTCTGTTAAATTCTTTTGTTTAGTTTACGAGCGGCGGCGAAGCGGCTCTTGGGTCAGTTGCCATCTGCTTTCTTGGCAAATTTTTACAGAATAGGGGTACGAATTTTGAATTCGAATTCGTTAGAACGATTTCCGCTTTTAAAAAAGTGTGATTTTCCACATGAATTCACCAAAACGATTTCAGTTTTTCAAATGAATTTTTTCGAAAATCAATACATTAAATGATTTAAATTTGACTTTAATTTAATTCTCTTATCTGTTATCTGAAAACTTCAAAAGAAAAAGAAAAAATTTAATTAGGAAACTTTATCTTAATTTAAAGGAATATACTTTTCCACTCAAGATATTTTCAATTCTTAATTCTTTAGAACGAAAATCTTTATTTACATGAATATATTGATTGATTGATATTCTTGAGTAAAATCATTGATATATATTTATATTTATATTGTTATACGCGTTATTCCGTTTAATTAGATACGAAATCGAATATTTCACGAAGAATTATCAAAAAAATGTTTTAATAAAATTTATTCGATTTAAAAGAAAATATTATATTGTATAAACAATTTTTTATGATAGAATTATATAATTTTTATTATTATATAATATTATTTATTATAAGATTTATCTGCATATTCTCTATAAAAAATTATTATATCGAAAAATCATTGATTGATTTAGAAGATATTTCAAGTTTAAAAATGTAATTCCATATTATTTTTTGGAATTTACAAAATAAAAAAATAACAATCTTATGATTAGTTCAATAGAATAATTTTCACACAAACACATAAAAACTAAAAACTAAACTAAAACTAAAAACTGTCTATTGTAAAAATTATTCTGTTGTATTAAAGCCAATTACATTAATTGTTGTTATCTTTCAAATTTTCCTTTCGTTTAATAATATCGATTCAATATCTCGCCCAAAATAATTTCAATTAATAAAGAAATAATTTTAACAATAAAATTTCTCAATTCGATCAGATAACGAGAAAATATGTTTCCAGAAATTATTTTAACCATTAAAATAATTATTTAAGTACTCACAAAATCAATCAATTTTTTTTATTATCTTTAAAATTATTGATTATATAAAAAAATATGTTTTAAATAAAATTTATAAGATAGTATATTTTATGTTTTATTTTTTTTCTCTATGATAATTTTTGAAAAATCTGAAAAAATTTTCTTAAATTTTTTCTTCATTTTAAAAATTAAAGTATGATTTGAATATGATTTGAATATGATTTTTTTATGAATAGAAAGTAAAATTATGATTACATATTTTTTCATGAATAGAAAATATATATTTTTTGAATTTTAGGTATTTATTTTTTTAACTATTTTATTTTTAAAAAATTTCTTAAATTTAGTTTCTTCGGTTTATCTGATAGAAATTAAAGATTGAGAATTAGAGAAGATTGATTTGAAATTTGAATTAAAACGTGCATTTATTGGTTACTATCATTTCTTGCGTTCTTGCAACGTTCCAATTAGAGTTATAATTAACGATTATTGAAATGTTATCGATATTCTATTGATAATATTTGATATATTGATAATATTATTAAAATATTGTTAACGAATAAATAATTAATATTATGTTTTTTCTTATTTATTATTTATTATTTATTATTTATTAGTTATTATTTATTAGTTATTATTAAGGTTCATAAAAATATATATAATAACTTTAAAACAAATAAATAACAAAGAAATAAGCTTTATTGAAAATTATACATTATTTCAGCTATTTCTATTTTTATTATATCTTAACGATATTTTAAACAAATATATCTAAAACTAAATATGATTAATAGATAATCATATTAACATAAATATCATTATCTCTAATAATAATTTTAAATAAGAAAAAATAGAAATTTCAATTATTGCTATTCTTTATCAACCCTAATGATATTATTGATAACCTCTTATTATCGATATTTATATATATTTATATTACACAACTCTAGTTCAAATGAAATGAAAACGCATCCACTGCAACCTAAACGCGACAACAGTGAATTCAACCGTGTTTATCTGGTCGAGTAATCTCCAACGTGAAGAAACAACTTTCGCTTACCGCGTGGGTTTCGATAAATCTTGATCTTGTTTCGAGGTAATAGTTTAACCAATCGTGAATGCGTGACTTACCCACGCATCAATTTTAATCTATAATAACCTTTCTCATTTTACGTAAGTTAGAGAAACATAAGTTAAAGTTTCGCATACCATCGAATATAAATAAGTCATAATGAAAACAAAGAAATATGATATAGTTTCAATTGAAAATTATTTGCAAGTCAAGTTTGATATTTGATCATTATATCACAATTAATAAGCGATCTATCTGAAAAATAACGTAAATTATTTTTTTTCATATGTTTAAGGAAATTAGACAAAAAGTGACAAAAATGTAAAAAAAACATAGATATATCGATACTAAGAGTCATCAATTAATTGCCATCGATGTTATTCGATATATGGACTATAGTAAAATATGTATAATTATAATATATTTTTTTAAAAATTTAAAATTTAAAATTTTAATTAAGCTTTTATAAGATTTTTATAAAATTTTTATTACATATAAATCAATATTTTTTAGGATACTATTTAATAATATAAATTGACTAACATATTAGATAATCGATTTTTTTTTTGTCGAAGTTAAGCCTTTGTTAGTTGAATTACTATATATCGAGAGAATATTATATATTATATTATAAAATTCTGACGATATTGATATTGTGACAAGAAGTAAGTATTTCTGGATAAAAAAATATATATAAATATATATTTAGATATAACTTGTCAAATATCAAATGAATTTTACTTAAGATTTGATAAAAATAAAAATAGTTATATGTTTTACAATGAAAGATAAACACAATCTCAAAATATCTATAATTTCTGTTGATAAGTATTCTGACTCATTATTAAGAATATAATATACGAAGCAAATAGTTTGGCATTTTGCATCACGTATTCTTTTAAAGTTTTAAAATTATCCGCTAAATAGATCTAAAATCATCAATTATATAAAAACATCAATGATTTTGATATATTCAAGTATGAACTTCAAATATCAATCGGTAAAAATATCGTTGTTCACGTATTCGTTGCCATCTACCAATTATTTATACCATTTTTTTAAGTTATGTATGTGCATATGTATAAATTTTTCATAAACAAAAAACAATGCAACAAAAATAAACATAATATAAGAATGAAATAATAATATAATTGAGTGAAGTAATAAAATGTTTCTTAATACGTCTTTCAGAAAAATATAATAGAATAATGATGAAAAGTACAATGCATTGTTGATAGTGGCTAAAAAACAAATACTTAGTAATGCTTGACTATTTATTTGATTTGACTCCCTATGATTATTTCTCGTATTCAAAAATATAAAAGATAATAAAAGATAAAAAAAGAAAAAAAATATCAATGCTACGATAATATTTCAATCATATAAGTAGTCGTGACAGAGATACAATAGATCTCTACAAGTCTATCTTTGCACTAGTTGATCACCAATGCATAGTAATGTTGAAAGAATATACTTTGAATAAAATGAATGATTTTTACGAATGTCATAAATCTAAATATTTTTTACGAATTTTTATGAACGATTTTTTACAACTATTATAAATTTTTGAATAAAATAACTTTTATTATAATGAATTTCATAAATTTCATAAATTTTTAATTTATGAAGAATAGTAAAAACCAAGGATGTGTTGTCGTATGATCAATTTCGATATTTTATATTTGTTCGTTATAGTAAAATGAATTTTATATCTAAAATTTAATAACAGTTATCACTATTTAATTTATTATTTAAATATGATTTAATGTTACAGTTTTTTATAAAAATAAAATTTCCTAAATAATATTTTCTTCAAAAATGAAAATGTAATATATATATTATATTCTGGTTTTCACTGGATCTTTTTATTGTCAGTTCTATTATTTTTTAGATATGCTATGTATGTATCTATATTGGGAATGGGAACAGAAATGAGGGCCAGCCGTTGTAATGAGGTTAATCAGCGCAGATGACACGGAAGTTCTGACGATAACAGATATCGTGATAGTTAGATATATTTATTTTATAAATAAATTAATGCCATATCGGATTGCGGAAAACCTATTCGGAAATAAATCAAAAATCGAGCATTTGAATGATCGCCATCTTTCATTTTTATAATTTTATTGAATCGAATATCGAATTCTCTTTTTTAAATTACTTCGATCAATTATTCCATTTTTCCGAGTTATACTTATAAGTTTCTTTCTAGTGTCTTTCTAGTCGATATGATTCGATCGAAAATGGAAATTCACGGAAATGGACGCTTATTTTATCTCGGTTGATTAATCAATATATCGAGCAACCGTGTCGACTGCATCGCTTAATCGCATTTATCGTAATCCGTCAGCGTCCCAAACTAGTCGCTTGGCATCAACTGATCGGTTGCATTCGCTATGTGGACTATTTGGAATATCGTCGTAATTAATTCTTCGTACAGTGTTGCCGTTCTATTCCTGAATATGTACGAGGTTGAGAATCATATCGTTTTCCTCGACGTCTTGACTCGAGACGATATTCTAGTAAACAAAAATAAATATTGTGTGAAATAAGAGTTGATCGAAAATATAATCTCGATGATGCATAAAACTTGTTTATTTAAAAGAGAATTTAAAAGAGAAGAAAAGAAAAGAAGATAAATCTTACTGAATAACAAACTTATACAAAAAAAAAAATTATACACAAGTTTGTTAATTCACTTGATGGTTACGTTTAGACTCGATTAGACACGAGTTCGGACGAGTTTAGCCGAACTTGAACGAATTAAAAAGAAACAGATATACTGCCTGGAATCTTATTTTACGCGCGCGGATTTAAAAATATTTCAAACAAAAATTTCAAACTTGGCATCGACTAAACTAATCGCACGATATCCACAATCTGAAATTGTTACATATTACATATGGAGCAAAATCGTGGTAATCAGACCGAAAAAACGATCGTGTTCATGTTCGAATATGATCATAATTTATTCAAGACACGTTGCAACGATCAATTTCAAGCAGAAAAGCGAAAACGGAACAAAGATGAAACGGTGCTTGGTTAGCTCGAGAGAAGGAAAGCGTATGCACGATTCGAAAGAAAACCTGTTGAACGATTATTACCCTTCTCACCCTCGACTTTCGCCACTTTTTCCCCGAGTGTATTATGACGACGATGAGGACTATTCTCTTTTCGTGTCGACTTAAGAAGCTCCATCAGGTGTTCGTGTACTCGTTCGCGCTATGATTTTCTTCTGAAATAGAAATATTTGTTTAATTTCATTAACAGATCTCTTTATACGTGTATATAATAAAACTATAAAAATAATATATAATTATAACTATACATATGTATAATTACAATATTCGTTTGCATATTTGTCTGAATGTTGTTGAAAAATTATATAATAGTTCAAACATATGAGAAAAACTGATGCAATGTTGTGAACAATGCATATAATTTATAATATTAAATATTTCGTTATTTAGAAAATATCCGAATTTCATAGAAAAAAGTCAATAAGTATCGTAATAATCATTCACAAACATGATTTTAAGATCAATAAAAGAGAACCTGAATGTAACACAATGTAGTAGCATAAAAATAAATAGTTCTAGTCAGTCATGTTGATATATTGAAGTTTTCACATGATATTGTTATTTAATTATTCACAATGATATTCGAATTATCAGTGAAGTTAAAAATCAAAAATTATATATGGATCCTTTATTTTCAAAAGTATACGTACTACACGAATTAATTTAAATTAAATTAATTTATTAAATTTGCATGTAATTATGATCATTTCTATTCTATAGATAATAAAAGAGAACAGTTTACGTTGAGCAATTTCAATTTGGCGGTCTACTGTGACCGCTAAACTGATACATATTCAAGCACAGACAAGAAAACGATAAAATGTATAGATTTCTAAACTCGTTACAATTTCTGAATACATAGAGGAAAGGATGTACTCATTTAGTTTTATATTTCTTTTTAAAATCTAATTCATAATTTAAATTATTTTAAATTTTTGTATAAAATATCTATAGATAAGATGATAAGATTATGCATGAAAAAAAATGGAATTTGACATATATTATGAAAATATATTAGACACTCTTATATTATGGTTCTTTCTAAAAAAAAAAAAAAAGACGATATGATGGTAGTTGTTTCGCGATTCTGATATTCTGTATAGCAAATGAGATAAGTATCATTATTGTTGACACCAAATGTCCCATCAAATTATGCTATTTTTATATTAAAAATAAAAATGAGTTCATAATTTTCCTTCATGACTTAACAGAAAAGTCTGTTCTATCATATAATATGAATAGAGATTTTCTTCTAGAATCTTAATTTTTAAAATAAATTGAAGAATATCAGCAAAAATGAGTGCATTTTCAATGTTCTTTTAACTTTGATAAGTAAACTTCTTTGTTAAATAATTAATAAATGCAGCATATTACATTTTCTGCATAAATGTGATAATTATGCATAATAAAAGAAAATGATTTTAACATATAAAAGTGAAGCAATAATTCTAATTTTGAATATTTTTTGAATAATTTTGTTACTTTAAAAAATATTGAAAATTTTTTATATGAAAAATACGAAGAGAATTATAATAATTTTTTCATAGATGGATGATTTTTATGATTTTTATGATTTTATGATTTTTATAATGAAAGGAGAATTTAGAACAGTTTATGGAAGATTTTCAAATATTTTAAGATCATTTCCATTTTTTTAAATTGATTGCTGTATTTTTTATTCATGATAATGTAAAGAATGTTAAAATTCCCCGACTTCTATTTCAAAATCATTCCAATAATAAATTAACGGAATTAACAACAATTTTATATTTATAATAAATGTTATGATTATCATTAATAATTGCATTAATGCATTGATACAACATTGAAATCGTTGAATCATTTGGGCATTTCTTATCATTTTTATACATTTTTATTTCTACCATGAAGTAAAATATTACAAGAAATAGATATAGTGATCGATGTAGCTAAGACTTTTTTTCATTAATACGAATAGATTCTTCAAGTAAACAGTTTATGGAGCTACGTTATTTTGATGATAAATTAATTTCGAAATGAAATTCTCATTTAACGAACAAGTAAATATGCTTCTTGTATATGGAAAGATTCTACAAAAATTCAGTGAAAGCAGAAGCACTATTGAATGTTATATATTGAATGTTATTCGGGTCATATCCATCCCTCGCACTGTATATTTTAACGAATACATGAAAAATTAAAAGATACTGAAATCTTAAATACACGACACTATGAACATAAGAAAGTGTGTCAAAGAAACGAAATCGGTGCACTCGGATTAGTGAACTTTAATCCTCAGATTAATTGTTCATGACAAATTGAACGAAAATCTTAGAAAATTAGCAGACGTTAATGTATTAAGAATTCTTCCCAAACATAAATTTAATCGTTATCACTTGAGGAAGAATTACACTCAGGATCAGATTTTTAAAATCGTGCTACTTCCTATCAATGGATATTGCAACAAATGAATAGAAATAATGATTTTTTATATACAATATTATTTATCGATAAGACAATTTTTATTAACAATAACAAGAAATAAATTTGCGTAACGAATTATTGATAACGAACTATTGATCACACAATTAAAAATATATTATTAACAGTGATAGTTCATAAAATATGATGTGCCATTATAGGCAAAATAATCTGATTTAATTATAAATAAAACGCTCACTACCACAAAATACGAAAAAGTTTATACGAGCTTACTACAGAATGTATAATCGAATGTTCAACGGATAATATGATATCAACACGATGATTGCTCACTATGTTCTATACGTATAAAAGGCAGCTCTCAATAGCATTTTGCCACATCGATAGAACATAATGGGCTAGTATTATGGTCAGCTCGTTCACCAGATATCACATTATTTGATTTTTTTCTTTGAAAAAATATTGTGTATCAAAAAAAAGATAACAATGTTATCTTAACTATAACAACAAAAGATACGAGAGAAAAATTTATTGCAGCAATTAATCAAGAAATGATAATAAACGCCCAAACTTCGGTATTCGGCAATTCAAATGTTGCGCATTGATTCAAACAGACACCATTTCGATCATTTATTTATAAAAGACGTATTATTTAATTTGTATGTGTTATTGAAATGAATTTAAAATTTATTGAATTTTAATAAATATTAAATTAATATTCAATAGAATATTATGTTCTAATGTTCTATTGAATATTTTCTCCATACGAGTAAAAAAACGTAGCAAACAATTTAAAAAAAAAAATACAAATAATATTGAAATATTCGAAAATTCTTTACTTATAAAAAAATTATTACAATTACATTATGGCTTCTATCGTATAATTTTCGTAGAAAATTTTCAATATCTTTAAAAATAACAAATATATTCAGAATTTGTTCTACTCTGTGTATCAAAAACATTATCCTAAATAACATTTTCTTATAACTTAATTGATAATCTGTTGTAATTTTCAAGATATTTAAAAAATGATCGCTATTATTGAATTTTCATTATACATACGCATCTTGGACAGCATTATATCAATATATGATCGAATAGATGTTTATCTATTGTTTCTACAAACAGTGATATCAATTGTAAGATGAATAATCTATAAATTAAAAAAGCTATTTTCTCTTGTATTTTGATGAGCTTGAAATATCTCGACTATGAGGTTGAACATTCTACAAATCCTTTAGATCCGTGGAATTGGACTATAAAATACAAAACAACCGAAAAAACAATGACCAAAGTTACAACGAGCATAATGCTGATATTGTTGTCATTGTAATTTCGGAAGGAGATTTATTTCATATTTTATTTTCATATTCTGCAGATCCAAAGATTCCATGGAATATTCAAGTTCTTGACAAATAAATGTTAAGTATGATGATATTAGCTGATTTATATATTTTATACATTTTGATACTAATTGCTATGATATGTTTATACTATTTTATATAAACAATTGATAAGTAATAATCGCAAATGTTGATATGTTATCACAGACATATATGTATAGGCAAAATTCTATGACTAGTTGCAATTTTTTTTTATAAATTTTTGTTATAAATATTTGAAAATTGTAAGAAACTATTGATTAAGAATTATAAGAAAAAATTATTTAGGTTGATAATCTTAATAACATATATCAAAATCATGATCGTTTTCTATAATATTCTCAATAATGCATGATTATTTTAAATGTTTTTTTATAAATAAAAAAATTACTGAAGAATCAACTTACCAGCAAGCTATAGTCTTTTCCTCTAATTTAATGCTCTATTGGCCTTTGATATAATGTAATGAATATGGAAGTGAAATGATAATGATGTAATGATATTACTCCGAGCTCCTCTGTAATCAATTTAGGGATTAATATGATTTGTAAAGAATATGGATGAATATTTTGTAATATATTTTTTTTTGTTAATAAAAAGACAGATAATAAATCATAGAAAAACTTTGGAAAAATATAGAAATCTTAATTTAATTTTATAGAATCAGAATCAGTCTTTTCAGAAAAATTATTTTACTTATAATATAATAGATTTTCTAAAAATATGTAAGTAATTTTATCTTAAATAATATAAATAAGATCAGATCTCTTAAGAAATGTATATTAATAATATAATAAAATTATTATTTTTTATATCTTTTTTATATCAAAAAAACAATATAGAAAATTATTTTAAATAATTATTAAATTATTTATAATTTATTAAATATTATTTAAATAATTTTAATAAATATTAATTTATGTTAATTTATTTTAATTACTTATTTAAAAACTATTTCGTAAAATTATTTTAACTTATATTTATATAAATTTATTATAGCTTAATTTAATAAACAATAATCATATACAAATATTTTATCGTTCTTCTCGATATTTGTGCAAATTTTACGAGTCTCTTTGTGATCGATCAATTATTTACTTTTGCTTCATGAAATATTTACCAATTTAAAAAAAGATAAAAAAATCAGAGATAATAAAATATAATTATTACAATTCACTAATTTATCATAATAAATTTTTAAATTTAAATGATAAAAAAAATCAATTTATTAAGACAACATCGAAACTCTTTAATTCGAAATTTTCCATCTTTTCTGAATCTTTTCTAAAAAAAATTGTCAAGATATTCTCTTTAATTTCAAATTATCATGATATGTATTCGAAAATACATTGCTTATATTTTACCTTATATCAGTCTTATGTTTACAGAAACAACGATATTTGATGTGACTCGTGTATCTGATTTTTCTTCTATTTTTATTTTATTCTTTTCTTTTTTCCACATTTTTCTACATAATATCGCGAGAAACGTTGTTTCCAACTTTTCCTGAGAAAGAAAAACATTAATGTCTTCGAATAGTTTGGTACATAATAGAAGTGCAAGTTTATAATTGTACCAATGAACCGACATTCCGGGCGAGAGACCGAGCGCGCCGTTTACAACTTCTCCATGATGCGATGCGCAAACCGTTGGAGAACCAACCGAATGCTCGAGGAAACGCCATCCGCCAAATATTTACTGAAACGGACAAACGAACAATTTACATACCTGCTCCGCAGACTTCTCGAAAATCCTCCTCCTCGAGACGATATCGCTTCGCTCGCCACCAGCCCTTCCTCCTCGTTGATAATCGCGTATTTGCACGTTCCTCGCGAAGGAACGTTCAATGGTTGGCGAGAATCGAATGCATCGCGATACGATTCGAAATCTTATCGCATTGCGATTACTCTCTCTTTCGCGTTGCACCGGTTGTTCGCTACACGAATCTTGGAAACGTTTCACGTTTCTCTATGCTCGACTCGTGTCAAGGATTCGTGACAGGTTTCCGGCTTCGTGGCATCTTATCTTGTGGCTTATTAGAGAAAACGACGTCGCGTCTTTCCACGATGAATACCAAACATCAAACAGGCTGTATTCTCGCGAACACAATAGCTATCTACCTATGCTTCGCGATGTAGGATAAATCTGGATTTTTTTTTTTTTTTTTTGTATTTCTAAAATACATTCTAATAATGTCTGTACAATTTTTTGCAATAAAAGTATTCGTTATAGAAATTGTTAATATATAAATGTGCATATTACACTTAAATTTTGAGAATATTATTATTATAAGATAAAAGTATTGAGTATAATGCATATACTCAATGAATGTTCCCGAGGTCATGATACAAGGGCAAGTGTAATAATTCTATGTATTCGAAAAATAATTCGGAAGAAAAGAATAACATTTTTTCATTTAAGACTTTGTTTTTAAGAAAATTAAGTTTTCTAAAAAAATTTTTAATTGCAAAATAAACTAATCGATTACAATATAATATATATATATATTATATATATATAGAATATAGAATAAATTATATATAATATATAATAAATTTTCTTCAGTGAAAAATTATTTTTTGAAGAAATAAATTTAAGAATTCTTCATTTACATAATTTCTTGATTGTAAATATTCAATTTCGATTTTTTCAAAAAATAAGAATATAGTAAAAGTGATAAAATTTTATTGTATATTTTTTAATTTAATTTCATATATAAAGTAACCATTGTCAATACAAATTTGTATTCAATGAAGAATTAATTAATGTCATGTTATATTTGAAAATTTTCAAATTTGATTTATTTGAAAACGAAATAAAAAAAATTAAAAACTGTTTTTCTTATTTTTATATACAGAATCAATAACTTGCTGCTTGTATCATAATTTCAAAAACACTCATATTTTTTTGGTAAATATTAAAGATAATGGTATAATAATTCTTAAACTTTTTTTAATTTTTTTAAAACCGTTACTTTATAATGGTAAAAGATGGAAATTTAAATATATAAAATATTCAGATTTTTATAACTCTCTATCCTTCTTTTGTAAAAAAATATTATAAATAAAATTATATTCATAAGATGAAAGAATATTGAAACTTTAAAAAGTTTGTGTCACGAAGAAGTAATATTCCCTGAGTAGTTTTTGATGAACTATTAAATAAAAAGATAATATATATTTTTCATAAGAAAAAAGATTTACATTTTTATAATATATTTACATATATTTTTAACATATTTTTAACATATTATAATATACATATATCTCATTATTTTTTAAACACACCACGTATAATATATTCATATTATTGAATAAATTTTTATTAAAATTTGAATTTTTAAATTAAATGAATTTTTCTAAATTTTTCTAAATAAGATAATTTAAATATATTCCCTGTAATAATATGCTATATTTCCTTTAATATTAATATTTTTAATATTTTAATAAATTATTTCAATAAACTACTTCAATAAAAGTGATTTTTTAAGCTATTTGTTTAAGAATAATAATATAATTTATAATTATATATACATATATCTAGAAAATGAATGTGACAAAATAATAGAACATGATGAAGAAAAATGATAGCTTATATAAAAAGCAAGCGTTTTATTTTTTATTTTAATAGCGTATTTTCTCTCTTTTCCATAATTTATAATAATTTTTTTATAATTATATTTTTATATAATTTTTTGAAAATTTTTTTGAAATGGAATTCTAGCTGTTCTGATTTTAACTTTTATTTATAATTAAATTGCTTTCTATTTTTATATATATGATAATTAATTTAACAGACATTAATCTTAAATTAATATTTAAATCTACGATTTTATCAATCATTATAACTTTATAATAATGCATATTAAATTAATTTTCTATAATTTTAACGATATTATATATTTTTTTCTGCTTCATATTTTATATATTATTATTTCATTTATGAATTTTATATAACTTATACTTATTATTTTTCCATTTATAAATCAAATATTTATCTATTCTTTATATTCATTTCTCTTCAATTCAAATAATGTTTACTCTTTTCATTCTATAATTAGCTTGATACAACGAATTTTTTTTAAAATTAAAATTATATAATCAAACAATCATCACAGATCAAATGATAATCTTTTATCACTCAAAATATTTCCTACTCTTTTCTCATCATATAGGATGTCTCCAATTTATCTGGAACCGTCCAAATATCTCGAAAAATATGAATGATGTAAAAAATGTTTCGGTTAAAATTTGGTTTGATTAAAATTTATTAATATAAAAAGATACATTATAAGTATTAATAGTTTTTCTATAAATTAATGCATAAAAGTTAATTTTAATTTTTTAGATGGAATCATAATTTTTATTGCACCATAATTCGTTATTTTTTACAAAAAAAGTACCAAACTATTTATATCGAAAAATTTAGGAGATATATTTTGAAGTTTGTGAAATTTATATTAAATAGAAGGAACAGTAAAGTATCGCTTCGCGTGTTTTTTTTTTTTTTTATATAATAACTTTTTATAAACTTCAAGTTATAATATTTTCTAAACTAATGATTTTTCGACGTAAACGACTTAATATTTTTTTATAGAAAAAAAATCATATCGATTAATATTCGATTAATAAAAATTATATAGTTAATATATAGTTATATAGTTAATTATATATTTAAAAAATTCAGATATATTTCATATTAATTTCATATTAATACTGCATAATATATCTCTTTCTATCAAATAATTTTTATTTGAAACATTTTTTCATATTATTTATATTTTTCAATATTTGTTCAAGATAAATTGAATATATATTATATATTATTAGACGATATGTTTTTTTTTTAATTCTTTTCTTTTAAATTCTTTAAAATTCCTTCTTTCAATTTCGTTTTTAGATTTTTAAAAATATTCTGTACGTTTCATATATACCAATATCGAATTTAATGCAAGTTTTAAAATTGCATGTATTCTGTGATGACTATGGATGAACTTTCATGTTAACTGTCAAAATTATTTAATAACAACCCTGGCAGAAAATATTCGATCATCTTTTAAAATTTATAAATTTTTATATTTTTCAATGTCTGTCGCTTGTCTGTTTCTATATCAATCCATGAAATTTTCAATACATATATAATTGATATAAATCTTTAAAATGTATTGTCTTTTATTATAGACTTAAATAAAAGTTGTAAAAAGCGATCAATATTATTTTCTTCATTCCAATTGAGTTTTTTTTTTTTATTTTCTTTTATATTATTTAGCAAACTAATTTTTCTGACTTCTCAAATGATTTGATTTAATTTTGAAATAGTTATTGCCAGAAATTGTATTAATTTCTAAACATTTCAAAATATTTCATATCTATTAATTTTGACATTTTAGAAAAATTGTATTTTATTTTTTATTTTATTTTTTTTATTTTGAAATAATTTTTATTTCAATTGTATTATTATTATTAATTAATTCTTTCAACGTATATCAACTTTTATTATTTATCAATATTCGCAACATCGTGAAGTAAATTTTTCACAACACATGATTTAAAATTTTGGTTAGTTTAAAATTGTCAATGCAAGATTACTTATTAATATCGACAAAGATTAATTTATGCAAATGTAATACAAAGCTTTTTCGCTTCAGTAAATTTTCAATATATCTTTCTCTTATTGCAACACAAATGGCACATCTGCGAATCATACATTTTCGAATATTCCTTCCAAATCTCGTATAATGTGACATACTTTGCACGACGATAGGAGAAATAACTCAACCATACTGAATACTAAATGGATATTGAAAATTTGTACTATATTTGCATTTACGATATAATCTTTTTAATTGATATCAGTTTTTAACATCGATTTTGAAAAATCATTATTTTCATTACGTGAAAAATCTGAAAAACGGTTCATCTAACGGTTCATTTTCTCAGATGTGTTGTAACGTGAGTTATAGTCTCAGTATACGTATAAATAGGGCAACCAAATTTCCCAAATTCTTCGGAAAACGAGAAATTATAAGCGATGTTTCTAAATACGACACAAGTTTCCGCATTCCGCGAATCGGATGGTTCCGGATTTCCTTTGGCCAATTGCCATCTTAGATACTAAACCATTCTCGACGTCCAATCTTGTGAGAATCTTGTCTCCCCGATGTATTATTTATACGAGATCGTATTTCAACTCGAATTAATCCATATTGCACGATAGATCAAATTGTAGAAACAATATGTAATCACAATTTAATGTTTAAGAAATATGAAATAAGATAATGTTTTTATATTATTTTGGGTATGCAGCAATATTAATATGTTTTTGAAGGATTGGATAAAAGTTAAAATAAAAATTTTAATAAACTTTTAATAAAATTTTAATAAATAAAAATTGGTATATAAAAATATCGGTTCAGACTTTTCTAAAACATTGAACGCCAACATCGATCATAGATGAAGGTGTGTCAGAAGCAAATTCTTTCAGTTAATTAAAATAAAATTAATATCGAAATTTGGTTCATTAAAAATTTTATCAATGTAAATAATTAAATGTGTAATTGTAGATAACGGTTAAAATAAAAAATTAAAATAAAAATATTGCACTATTATATTATTAAGTACAATAATTAAATATATTTATTGGAACATATCTACTTTATAAAATTATATATATATTGGAATTTATATTAAGATATTTAAAGTAGAAATAAAGCTAATCTTTGTAATCTTTTCAATCATGTTATATTATTTTTTTAATATAATTTTT